ATTAATTATGCTTTCTGAAACTCCTGAGGAGTTGCCAAAGCCAATGCTATTATCCTCTCCTGTCCTGTGGAATCCTCCTTTGTTACACAAAAAGTAAAGAGATTCCCACTGCTGCCTAGCAAATTAGTGGCTCAGGCAGAAATGAAATCTAGACATCTGAATCCTCCATTGTAATGGTCTAAGTCTGAAATAACCCCCAAAGTCTCATGTTCAGAGATGGAATTTTTAGAAGGTGACTGGATCATGGGGCACTGTATTCTTCAGTGGCTTAGTCTACTGATGAGTTCACAGCTGATTATATTGTTCAGAGGTATGGCCTGGTAGGAAGGGGCGAGTCACTGGGCCTGGCCTGTGTATTTCATGCCAGGCTCTTCTCTTCTCTCTCCACTTGCTGGCTGCCATAGGACGAGTGACTTTGGTGTACCATGCTTTGCCACCATGGCAATTCTGCCCTGGAGCCAACCAACCATGGACTGACTCACCACAGAGCATGAGCCAAACTAAACCTTTCTTTGTAGTTGTGTCAGGTTTTTGACTGAGTGGCGGGAAAGCTGACTAAATATCCTTGTTTGGGGTTCTGGAATTTGGTGTTCTGTTAAGGAGGTGAGGGGGGAAAAGGACCTGACTGCCTAAAGCTGAGCACCACACAGTGGAAAGCATTGTAAGGAGGAGTTTGGTGAAGAGAACCAATAGTTTTATACAGTTTTATCATGAGGAGTTCTTGGAAATATTTTGGAAATGGAACTTGTAGACAGTCTTTTTCTTTCTTTCTTTTAAAGGACGTCAGAGAGTGAGACTAAGAAAGCTGAAAGGAAGGAAACAGATGTGTTTTCCTGGACTCATCATTATTTTTATCCTGGTGGCAGAATGCAGAATGACTTCTACTGTCAGGCTACCTCTCTCTTCCCCATTTGCTTTTTTAATCCTACAAATGTGTTTTTCCTTTCACTCTAGTGTCTTACTATTATCAAGTCAGAACTTACTCATGAAGATTTACATAAAATACTAAGATTTACTTAGAAACTGTAACAGATTAGAAACTGAAAATAAAAAGGCCTTCATTTTAGGTCACTTAGCATGTGGTTAAGAGGATGGTGAAGTACGTTTGAAAAAAAAATCTGATTTCATCTTTGATATTTAGAAGCTTCACAGCCTTAGTGGATGGCCTCTTGGAAGTGTAGACATTGCTTGCTTAGTCTGGAGCTATTGTACTATCAAGCTGTCCTTTTCACTTGGAGCTCTTTGGACCTGTTACTGTCTTCCCATAATTCCTGACAACATTCCTCAGGTCAAAAACAAAGCAAAAGGGTGCATGGCATTCAGGACACTCATTAGACTCCTCTGAAGGCAGTGTTTGCCCCCTGCACTAGCAGCGCTCGGTGCTTGGCCCTCATCTTGTCTAAGTTGTGAAGGGACTACAGCCTCCATCCTGCACTGTGGAGGGATCAAACTGCCTGCCACCTGTTTATAATCCCTTTAGGTTCAACAGAGTTTCCAGATTTCCGTACTTTATGCCTGAGTTTCTTTTCCAGAAGCAAGTCACTTCTTGCTGCCCAGCGAATCTGCTATTTCTTCCTTGATGAGAGCTGTTCAGGTAGCATCCCAGGAAACATAATGATACTCTCAAATCTCCACTACAAGGGCATGATTCACTCACTTTCTTGGAGGAAACAAACCCTCATAGCCAGGGTTTGTTTTTGCCCCATTTAAGCCCTAAATCTCTCCAAAAGGGCTCTCTTCTTAAATTCATCGCATCACAGTATATAGCAGTATATATCAAATATTTAAACTAAGTAAAATGAAGCAAAAATTATAATTAAAAAGGGTGAGATATTCTCAAATGTGTCCATTGCCAGAAGCCTAAAAGGGGAGTGTTAATTTTTTTCTGTGTCTGCGTTTAATATGAGTGATGGGGAGCTCCTGCATTTCATGAACCCGCAATCCGTGCATCCTTCCCAGACCCAGGCTGAACTCCCTAGGCCTTTGCAGGCTGTGAGGCATTTCTTTCCTGTGGAGAGCACATCCTCTGCAGAGGTACATGGTCTTCCTGAACTTTTCACAATATTACACTGCCTCTGCTTGTTACTTAGAATGCATGCTAAGTGACAGTACTTCTCATACACGTTAGAGATGAATGGTGCTTTTTACAAAGTTTAGATGTGGCCTATTTGTTTTGTGGGTGAACTTGGTGGAGAAAGCATGCACTGGTCTGAGTCATAAATCTGGAAAAGGAACTGTTTTTTAGATTATGGGCTAATATTTTATTTGTGATCCCACCTCAAGTCCCAGTTTTCCATCCCCAACATTTGCTACTGTAAGTTAGTTTGATGTTCTCGGATCTCTCCCAGGTCTCCTGTGGGTAGTATGTTTGGGTGTTCCCTTTCATGATGAGGTGTGTTGAACCCCTAAGGCATTCAGAATCACTGAGGCTGTTTAAATGTGTGGTTGAGATAAACTTGGCTGAGACTGCTCAGTCTTTGTATTTTTTGTAGGATTGCATGTTTAAAAGCAAACAGTGACTGCAGACCTCCCCGCAACAAATGTGTAGTCTACAAGGACATCAAAGTCACCTGGTGACCAGTTCCTCCCAGGTGTAGCAATGCAGGCCCCACATCCAGGGAAAGCCTTCAGACCTGGAAGGACCAAATGGGTTTGGCTGGGACTGCCCCAGTTTGAAAACTTAAGGTCCAATACCTCAGGAAGCCACTTAGTCCCAGGCAGTCTATTATGGTTGGCCACTGTAGTACAAATTCACGTTTGCACACTTAAATCCAAATACTTACAAATTATAAATCAAGGTGATAATTGTGAAATAAGACAGCATCTGTCCTCTTACTTGACAAACATATGTCTATAATGACCTGAAAAGATGAGTTGAGGTCAGAATTCTCAGGCTCTTGGAGTTGCACGAGGGGACACAGTGACTTTGCTGGAGCTCATCCCAGGCCATGGCCTCTCCCCTCAGCTGTGCGGCGAGAGGCTCTGCACCTTCATGCGGACAACCAGGCCCACCTGTCAGGGATCTCTCCTCATCCCTTTCTTAGGTCTTGGCGTAGTGGGGCTCACAATGGGTGGTAGGTGGCCTTGTTGGGAAGAAGCTAGAAGGAGAAGTCTGACCAGCATAGGAAGAGGGCCAGGACCTACAGTGAGGGAATGCCAGGTCCTGCCCACCTGCCGTGAGGTCTAGAAGTGCAGTGTGGCTGCTGGAGGCCACGTACACTTACAGGCCCCCACCGTGTGCTGCAAGCAGAGTGAGATCTTCCAAAACGAAGGGTTACAGGGCAGCCCCAGGAGTGACTTGCTCCTGTGGGCCGGGGGAACCTTTCTTTCAGTAGCAGGAGGAAGACTCCAGGGTGAGTGCACACCATTTTGTCTAGGGTCTTTGCAAAGGGAAAGGACTTCAGAAGATGTAGGTGCCATACAAATGCCAGCAGACAGTCTGACTGTAGGAATTCTTGCTTCTGTGAATCACCCCTTAAACTGCAGAGCAGCCTTTAAGTCCTCTTTCAGGGTGACATGTGAGCTACAAAGAGTTCTGACAATGCAGACTGATACAGTGTAACTCAAAACTACTTAGAGATGGTATTGGGGTAATGAAACTCCTAAAAAATGCAACTGAAATTTACTGGAATCAATGAATTTGCATGAATAGATGCAGCGCCATCTCAGGTGGCTGCACAGGCTGTGCACTGCACAATTTCAAGTGGTGATAGTCACGTAGACTGCAGTGTGAACGGTGCCCCTGGAGTTGTGCAGAGGGTGGACTGCTCAGCGGTATGCACCATCCCTGAATCGAGGAACACAGCCATCCATTTAATTTTTCCCTGGTAAAATAGATATTCTTCGAGTTGAAACGTGTTAAAATTCTAATTTGAGCAGTGGGGCCACTTTTATGTGGTTCTTCATTTAGACTAATCTTGATTATCCACTGGGAATTCATGAGCAGAAAATTGGCTCATTCCCCTTTATTTTAATGGTATTTTCTGCTTAGGGTTTGGAAGTGAAATGAAAACTGAGTGAGCATCACGCTTGATGAATTTTACCATTTTACCTGCAAGCAAAGTCCAGAAGTCCAGAAAAGAGCTTTGGAAGTTCATTTTGCAAATGCTTAAATGTTATGAAAAATTTAATTTCACTTCCAAGTAGACTTTCATGTAGAGACCCAGTTAGCTATAATCAGCGAATCAGTAGTGAATGTTTTTGTCATCAGTTCTCACTGATGCTGAGTTTAAAAAAATTATTTTTCAGTGTTTTTGGAAAATTTCATAGGAGTATCTTAAAGCAGAATATTCTGATTATCTTGGTGTCTGCAGGGCCATCCAAAAAATTAACTTGATATAGTTTTACTTTTCTGTCCGATATCACATTTATTTATAACCTCTGATGTATCAGTGATTTCAACAGAGAAAGCATGTTTTGTGTGTGTGTTGCTAAGACCAAAAAAAAAAAAAAAAAAAAAAAATGTGTTTCTCCAACCTTGGAAACCTCCCTACAGACTCCAGGGAGAGCAAAACTGTACCTTAGTTATGATCCTGCAGGTGATAATAATCTGTTTATGAATACAAATGGCCCTGCTGTGTCTAGCTTGACAGTAACCCCCGAACCACCAGAGAACAACAGAAGTGGTAAGAAAATTACCTATCTCTGGAATAAATACACCAACTTTACTATTAGCACGGCCAACTATGTAACTGAAACAGTCTACAAAAAGAAATTATCATAATTTACTGGTCTCTGAAGTTTTTCCAAAGTGATTTGTGATTTCTGGTTATTCTTTTATTTCATTTTCTTTTTTTGGAGGATTGAAGGGACCGGGAAAGGGAACAGAGTTAATATGTAGTAAACTGGGACATTCAGGCTTTACTTACCTGTCCTATCAAGCAATCTATTTGATCCTAAAACTTTTAATGCATATTTATCACATTTTAGTTTGTATAGGTTCGTAAATTTTTAACTCCAAAATACATACTTATACGTGTTTGCTATGTTTTGTTTTTTAGGTGGCAACCCAGATTACCTAGGTGAACTTTATGAAGGTAGCTATCACATTCTCTTCACTTTGCACTTTATAAAAATGTTTGTACATAATGAAAATAAGTCAACTAAAAGAAGCCCTCTAAACTCAGTTAAATACACACTCTCAGCATTACGTAGGCTGAAATAACATCACAAAAATCATTCAGTATTGATGGACATTTTCCCCTGGATATTTACAGTGCCTGTAAACCTCACTTTCTCTCTCATATTCTGTTCTTGGAAGTAGTCAATCCATTCTGCTGTAACAGACATTTTGTTTCCATAATTGGGAACTAATTACCTGTTTAAAAGCCATGATTACCAAGGAAAGGGAACTGTATTGGTTTCTGGCTATGCCGGTAAACCCAATTTAAAATGGTTTCTCATATAATGAGGAAGTTTGGCTCCCAGAGAGGAACTTCAAAGGAAGGGCTTGTTTTAGGGATGGCTAAACCAGCAGCTCACCCATATCATCAAGGACCCCAGTTCTGTGCCTCTTGACATTCCCCAGCCCCTCCCACCAGCTCCACTGAGGGAGGAGAGTTCCTTGCAGTTCTAAGTGGATGCTGACAGGAGGACTCTTGCCACTTACACTGATGGGAGGGAAGGAAGAGTCTTTGATGGTGTCCCGAAGAAAGAGCACCTCCCCCAAACCCATCAGACTCTCTTCGTAAGCTGAGTCATGGTCCATTCTCACCCTCATTACTGATAAGGGAGGAGAGTTAACTTTTCACTAACTAGTCCCAGCCCTGGGCCAGTTCGAGCCAGTTTCCCTGGAAGTGGATAGATTTAAACCCTAAGCAAATGAAGGATTCCAGGAATGTGGAAGGGCAGAAATTAAGAGGGTCCTGATATTACTAGCTTTTGACTGAGTACTTCATCATACTTTGCTCTTTGATTGAAAACCGAGGTTGTTTCACTAGGTATGATAACCTGTCTTTAACAGATTTCCAGAGCACCTTTGTGGTCATGCAGCCAGTAAATTTGGAGAAGGGACAGGCTGCATTTCAAGATTGGGCTTGAAATTTAAGAATGATTAAAATTTAGATGGGTTGAAATGTTATATTTATGTATTCTAGAAAATTCTATTCTCTAGTTTTATATGTGACACATACATGTGGACATTAATTTTTTCCCCAGAAGGCCATCCTGTGTTTGGATGTTTATTATAAGGTGTGTGTATTTAACTTGAGTTTAATTGGGAAGTGTGTTGTCTCTACCTGCTTATGCATATTAAGTCATATTTCTTCTAAGCTTTGGTTTGGTTGATTTTATGCACGTGATTTGCAAAGTTTTCTTTTTATTTGTCCTGATATAATTGAAAGAAATAATATCTTAAATTGTATCACAGAGAATTACATGAGAATTGTGATTTTACATTTTAAACTTATGTTTTGGGTTTCTTTTTAGTAACTTCAAGGTTTTAAAAATGCCATCTTTCCACTGACCTCAAATCCTACTTTGATCTTTGGGCCAAAATGTCATGATACTAATCTATAGATATTTTAGTAATTTAAATATTGCATGACAGGTTGACAATCAGATGAAGAGGGAAAACTAAAAGTGATATGTGTTCATATTTGAAGCCAGTAAGTTGTACAAGAATAAAACAGCAAATGGAAAATAAGTGGTTTTTCTGTTATTTTTCACTCACATTGCAAGGCACACTTTGCTAATAAAAATACTGTATAATTTAAACTGGTTGCCCTGAGGCCATAATACTTCTACCTAGAGAAGTTGAGCCGAGGCTGAGTTAATGATATAGTTTGTTCAGGATGAATTTAAGATGCTGCACCTATTTAGGATTAAATATAAACATTTATAGAAACATCATCTACAATAGATTCACCAGGAATTTTCTTGGAAATATTTTGCTAATAAAAACTTCACTCACCACAAAAAAACTGATCTATATAGACTGAAATTGATTTGGGACTTGATGCAATGAGAGCACATCCTTACAAGTCTAAGCATTGTGTTAGTCTACAGAATGACTGATTCTGAAACTGAAATATTGGCAATGTTGAACTGTTTAAGAAAGTTTCTTTGCAGACCCAAATTCTATGCTGATGCTTCCACTCTGTCTTAAGCATTTTCCCTTTACTCAAACAAGATGCACCTGCCCAGGAATTAGTGTTGCCCACTTGAAATCTGGTTAATATTTGGACCCTGCTGCCTTTGCATCAGGTGACTGTAGATAAGCCATTTTACTTTCTTGAGCTGACAATCCTCAGCTCTAAAATTGGCAGATGGAATTGGTCTCTAAAAACTCTTGCATGTCTATAAGTCCATGGCTTTTAAATGATCAATTCCCCTTCATGTTTATTTTAAAGATTCCACCAATGAGAGGATCTATTCAGTGCAGAGAAGAAACTCTAAACCAGATTTAGAATTTGACCAACAAAATAGTGATATAAAGATCTCTGCTGAAAAAATCTTCAACATCAGGCAGTCCCTGTGCTGCAGTGGATTTAACTCAGCAGCCCTGGCCAGGCTGTTGGCAGTTCAGTCTTTGGGGACTGGTCTTGCTTCCCTATGGCTCTTACTGTGGTCTCATATACGGTTGCAGCCTAATGACAACCTCATGCTCCTTCTTTCCCCTTTCTCCAATTTAAGACTGGACTGCAACGAGTGATACCGCAAACAGAAGCAGTGAAACCCCACCCACGGCTGACGATACTGGCCGGGAGCATCTCTCGGTGAGTGTGATAACCACGTGTTTCCTAGATTGCTCCGACCGTTTCAGTTGCTCACATGTTGAAGTACTATGGTTGCTTCCCCAAGACATTTTTAGGTTTCAAATATAAACAAGGCACCAAATGTTGGAGGAATTAATGGAAAAGTTTAAGAAAAGCAATAAAGGTATTATCTAGCCTCCGACTTACTTGCTTCTCTTTTGTCTACAATATTTAATGGTTAGTGGATCCTATTTAAAGTATCTGTCCTTTACGAAATGATCACTAGATCAGGTAACTGGTGTTTCCATTCAGGGACCACATCTTCACCTCTTAAATATTTTTCATAAAAAATTGAGTGTTCACCAAAGGTACGGGATCCAGGCACTTCTGGAGAATGGAAAAATACAGTAAAACTCAGATTTGCCATTGAAAAGCCTGCATTTCAGGCGGAGATCCTGGGTGTGATGGCGTATGTGTGGCTCACACAGGACGGTTGGAGGTGGACTTTCAGGCATGGAAGGGAAGGGCAGTTGGGCCAGGTGAGCAGGAACTGGCGGGTTAGAAAACGTGATGCAGACACTTGCTCTGTGAGTACAGCATGTGCAGGCAACACTCAGAGCGAAGGTTGGAGACGCAGGTCTGGAAACACAGGCCGTGTATTGAGCCTTATTACACAGCGAGAAGCAACTGAAGGGTGCCACAGATCCCAGGGGTCTGGGTTGGGACTGGCCTGTCAGTGGCTCTGATCTCTTCTTTTCCGCACTGATCACGTGCACACAGCACTTCCTGTGAGCTCTGCCTCTATCAATTCAAATCCATCCACATGTCTCCTCTTGGCAGCCACTGTTGTACGCTAATACAGAGTTCAACAAACTAGGGACTTTGGATTCAGTGTGCCTCACCAAATGCTTCTGTGAAGTTTGTGGGCTAAGAATAGTTTTACATTAAAAATGGCTTTAAAAATCAAAAGAAGAACAATGTCTTTTCACGTATAAAAATTCCATGAAATTCACATTTCAGTAACGATAAATAAAATTTTATTGGAACACAGTCATGCCCACTCACCTGTATATTGTCTGTAGCTATGTTTGTGCTACAGTGGTGGGTGGAGTGTTGCAGCAGAGACCATATGGCCTGCAAAGCTGCAACTATTTACTATCTGGCCCTTACAGAGAAGCCCTTACAGTTGTTCTTTCTGGAGTGATACTGTAGCCTCAGAAGGGCCTTGCTCCCCCCCCACTTGTCACCTTCTGTTCTTCCTTGCTGTGCAACCAAATGCCAGAACTTATTCTTCCAACTTTACTTTAACTTTATACCTCTTGACCACCCTCTCCTCTTCTCCAGGACACCATCCACATCCCAACCTCTGATAGCCACTCCAGGACACCATCCACATCCCAACCTCTGCTAGCCACCACCATGCTGCCTTCTGCTTCTATGAAATCAGCTTTTTTATGTCCCACAGATGAGTGACATAATATAGTATTTGTCTTTTGTACCTAACTTATTTCACTTAACATAATGTGTTGTATTAATCAGCTTTCCCACTGCTGGGACCGAATACCTGTTGCTCACAAATTAAAGGAGGACACGGTTTGTTTGGCTCAAGGTTTCAGAGGGGTCAGTCCATGGCTGGGCTGGCTTCAAAGCAGAAACATCTTGGTGGAGGGTTTTGGCAGAAGAAAGCTGCTCATCTCATGGTAGCTGGAGAAGAGAGCCAGGGAACAGTGCTAAAGAGGAAAGGGCCGAGAACCAGATACAGACACCAAGGTTATGTCTCCATGACCCACCCAGAAAGTGTGTACCAGAAAGTGTGTCTAATCCCCTGGGAGGCTCCCAAGTCAATCAAATAGATAATTAAGCCTAACTGTCACATATCCTTTAGGTTCATTCATTTTCCTGCAAGTGACAGAATTTCTGGTTTTTTTTCTAGGATTTTTTTTATTATAATTCCCAGTCTTAATGCAATTTAAGTAAAACTTCTTGTATCAGTCAGGGTTTACTAGAAAAACAGATGTAACACAATATATACAAATGTATAAGTAATTACAAGATTGGTTTATGATGGTCAGCTACAGAGTTGGATAAGGAAGCATGCAGAGAGTGTCTGCATGCTGGAGGCTGACAGGTCCAGTCTAAGGTTTGGAGCTCACTGCAGTGTTCTGTGCAAGTCCATATCAGGAGGCTGATGGGCTTCCAACAGAAGGCTGAAGAATCTATGTCTGAAGGCTGAAGAACCCCAGGCAGAAGCCAAATAGTCTGCACCAGAAGACAAGAGACAACATCCAAGCTGAGGGCGAAGACTGGAGCTCCTCCAAAGAACCAGCAATCAGTCCTTCCTCATTTCCCTTTTAATGTATGCAGGCTATCCACCCTGGGGGGGGGTGGTCCTTTATATTTACACCATCTACATGTCCTCCTCTTGCACCAGCTGAGGATGTTTACAATGCCAGGACCCTGGCCCCCTGCTGAACCACTTAGTTAAACTTCTAAACTTCTCAAACTGACACAGTGAACAAAATCCTAGAGCCATAACAGCATGTCCTCTGCACCCCAGGATGTAGAACCGTTGAGTTACTTAGTTAAGCTTCTACACTTCTCAAGTTGACACAATATATCACCCACTACACTTCTCTTATAAAAGGTGAATTCTTCATGGTGTTTTATCAAGCTCTCTTTTATTTTGTTGTCCTTGCTCCTTTTTGACATTCTCTCCTATGCTCTTGTAACTTTTTGTCACCTGTCCTTTTGAATACTCCTTTGAATACTTCTGGCTCACTCCACAGAGGAATGCCCGGTTTCAGCTTCCTGGCAACCTTTGGCTTAAAAGAAGGTCATTCAGGCTAGGTTTCCAGCAACCATTACCCTCTTTCATTTTTTTCTGAGCAGCTACTATCTGGAATTACCCTATTTATTCCTTTACTTGTTTAATATATTCTTCCCTCTCAAGATTACCTAGTAGGAGTCTTGGTATAGTAATTCTTCCTAATTTGTACCTTCAGTTTCTTTAGTTTCAGTTACTTGAGTTCAATTTGAAACTAAAAGCAATACATAGAAAATTGCAGAAATGAACAACTCATAGACTTTAGATTATGCACAGGCTGAGGATGTTCTGAGTAGTGTAGTGAAATATCACATAATTCCTCTCAGTCCCATTTGAGCTGTAAATCACTCCTTTGTCCTGAGTATCCCCACTGTGAAAGCTACCCACCCATAATTATCTAGCAGCCTTCCCATCTCATTTATCAGACCCACTGTCATGGTATCCCAGGGCTTGTGTTCAAGCAACCCATGTATTTGTTAATAAGGGCTCCAAAGCACAAGCTTTCATTTGGGCATATCATACTAATCGTTCTATTTTATTATTGTTGTTGTTATTATATTACTGTGCCTAATATATAAATTAAGCTTCACCGTAGGTACATATGTGTAGGAAAAATCAGTACATATAGCAGTTGATTCTTCCCATGGTCTCAGGCATCTGTTAGAGGTCTTGGACTGTCTCTGCTTTAGTTAAAGGGGAACTGTTGTATAAGCAGTCTGGTCAGTGTTTTTTATGGTGTGTGCTTGTTCCCCTAAAAATACTGCCTGACACCTAGTAGGTATTTAGTAAGTCTTGCAGACTGGCTGGACTTATGGTAAACATTATAGGACAGGTTGTGGAATAGAGAGATAGGAAGTGGGGTAATAATTGAGGTGTTTGGTACAGTAATAAAAAGATGTGCTATGTTCTTGAACCAAGACCATGATATTGGGAATGTAAAGTTCATAAACAGATGCATCACAATTGCACCTTGAAGTGCACATAGCAAGTGTAGGTGTGCATGCGTTCTCTCTCTCTCACTCTCTCTCTCTCTCTCTCTTACACACACACACATTACAAACTTCCACAGATGGCCATACGCATGACACAGAAATACTGAGAACAAATACCATGGTAAGTCAATCTCTATGACTTCATAGTTCGTGGTTTGAAAACATTGTGTACTTAAGAAACCTGAGCTGCAGGAGCTGAGCCACTGATGTGCATACATTCCAATTACTAGAAATATATGTTAACTTCAGTCTTCTCTCTTGTAATACCAGAGATAGATGGAAGCCCCTGACTGGCATTTCTCAAGATATTCAAGCTGTTTGTAGAGCCAGAAGGCAAGATTAGTAAAAATAATAATCCTTTAAAGCCTGTGCATTATGACTCTGGCAAGGGCCCCTAGAATCCTGTATCAGAGATGCAAGACCATGTTTTGTAGAATTTAAATACATTTAAAAATTTTATGTGGTCCCAATATCTGCTGTATAAACAGTCTCTGATCACAGGAGGACCATTTTATGAGTTTCAGAGCCAGGGAGGCAATAGCAGCATAGCAGATGTTGTCAAGGCATTTGAGAGACAGTTTTAAATGTTGGCTTTAGGGCCCAGCAATAGCTCTTCAGTGTCCTGATTGGATTTGTAGGAAAGGACAGATCCCCTTTGTTCTGTCCTAAAAGATGTTTTCAGGTGAAAAACAACAGACCATCCAACCCATCAAATTCTCACATAAACACCCACCCTTGCCTCCAACACATGTATGGCACCTAAAACTACATTTATCACTGGTTTTGAAAAAGTGATTCTTACTCTCCCAGGAGCCTTTGTTTCTTAAAGTGCTTTAATTTAGAAGGACTTCAATAGGTGTGAATGCTGATTTGCAAATCTTTAGCAGCTTTTCAGCAGTAGGTAGAGCCCCATCCTGTTCGGTAGGTGGGTTACGCAACCACTAACTGAGACCAGGTAGTGTTATCTGATGTCATGATGGGAGGGTCAGACACATGTTTTTCCTTTCACACCTTCATTTTCAGCCGAGCACCTAGTGAGGAAGTTTCATGAACAAGTTGCATGTTTTATACCTGGACAGACTGGTTTAGATACCAGGCTGGGAGGTGTGCCTTGGGCTTCTTATTTAATTTTCTTCACATTTTTGTTTTATCACCATCATTGGCATTGTCATCTTTAATACTAATGTGCTATCTATGATAGTAGACACTATTGCAAGCCAATTATCTGCATTCACTTATTTTAGATTTACAACAAACTGCTAAGTAGAGTATTATTATATTTCCTATTTTACACATTGGGATTGTGAGACTCAGAGTTTAAGTAATTCTTAAATGATATGTGTAATACATGGTAAATCTAAACTTTATACTCAGGAACAACCCATGTTCTTAATATTTTCCAGCATATAGTACCTCTCACTATGAAATGAATGTTACTCGGGATAAGCTATACTGCAGTAATAAAAATCTCCAGGTCTTAGCAGCTTAAAACCATGCAGTTTTCCTTGATGCTTCTGTGCATGTTTTGACCCAGAGGTCAGATGAGCATTGTTCTGCCTCTAGGACAGAGAGTTTGCATCTGTTATGACATAGGGGAGGGAATTCCCGAGGAAGTGCAGCAGGTTCTCACCCTTGGTACTACTGACATTTTGGGAGGAATGATTTTGTTGGAGTCCCTGTGGATAGAACCACTAGCTTCTATCCACTAGGTGCTTGTGACACCTTCTCCCAACTGTGACAACCCAGAAGTGCCAAATGTCTTTATGTGGGGTGGCACCATTATTTCTGGTTGAGAGCCACTCCTTAAAAGTTCTCAGACTAGCACTGCAGTTCTACCTCTGGTAGTGACAAAGGCCTCAACTAGTCACATGAATCCTTCTAATCATAAACTAGCCAGGAAATGCATTTTACAGAGTAACACAGGGAAAAAGCTGGAATACATGGGGAACACTGAGGGACATGATACTATTAGATTCAAGGATTATCATGGAGATTAAGTGAAACAATAAAGTTTGAGTCTAAGTCAGTGTGGGTATCCAAGACAGTTTATAGCAGGAGTTGTGAAACTATGTCCAAATCCAGCCACTCGTGTATTTGTAAATACAGTTTTACTAGAACGTGGCTACATCACTTGTTTCTATATCTTCTGTGGCTGCTTTCGTGCTACTCAGACTGAGCAGTTGCAACAGAGACTGGACAGGTAGCCAAGCCTTAATATTCCCTGTTTCCAAAAGTTCACCACGGGCTTGGAGCATTTTTTGGCAGCAAGATCTTGAGCTGGGCAAAACTGAAAGAGGCTAAGGCACACCAGTGTATTCCAGCTAAAGTTCACCAAGCAAGAATCGAAAGTTTGTCCAGCATGGGATGTGTTGGCTGAATTCTCCTGTAGTTTAGTTCTGGACTGGCATGAAGGTGGCTACTTCCCAATCTCTTCTCTGGACAGAGTAAATCTGCATAAAGTCTGGCTCAACACATTACCACCCCTACATGGCAGTGTTTCCCCAGTAGTTGAGTCAAAGAGCAAAGATTAACAAAAACCAGGTTTTTCTGTATACAGTATGGAAAGTGTAAGGGCCACTGGGGCAAACAGGTGAGGGGAACAGAACCCCCAGGGTATCAGGCCAAGCCCAGAGCTCAGATTAATGGTAGGGCCAGGGAAAAGTGGCTGATGACTATACAGGTCTTTTCTGCTCCCCACGGGGGTATCACTCCCTGGGAGCTGGTTAATCTTGAAGGCAGGAGAAGGCTAGAAGATGATGGCTTTGAAAGGAGGGGTGAGTTCCAGAGCTCCCAAGTTCCCCAGTAGAGGCTGAGGTATGGTGCTGGATTTGATGGATGGTAGAAAGCTGCCCACAGCCCTTGCACTGCATGGCCTTGGGAGTGGTGGTGCTTTGGGCCCTGGCAGTGCTGTCTCTTGGTGGTGGATCCCAGGACCAGGAGGAACCTGTCAGGTGGGCTGTAGTTGAATTGTTGCTTAGTGGGAATAGATAGATGGGTAAAATGCCTTTTTGCAATGTAGAAAGTTCTCTTCTTATCCTTGTGAGGTAAAACAATGTTAGATGGCCAGTGATTCTTTAAAGATAATTTGGCACTGCGGAAGAGGTGAAATTTGTCAAGGCAAAGTATTTTTGAAAACACTAATTTAGTAATGAAAAATATTTTATGGATGGAAATTTATACTTGTCAGGTAAGACAATTTGATAATTTTTAAAGCACTATCTTCCTTTGTAGCAGATAAACCTGAGGGTGGCCAGCATTAGATGGAATTGTGGTGGTGACAGTAGACCACTGTAGTGGATTGACAACTGGTGGTCAACTTATAACCCCCAGCTGAACTGAGTAAGTGTGGTGCTGGGTGTGGGCGGCCCACCTGGAGACTGCTGCCAGCAGCATAAGAGGAAGAACTGGAGAAGAAGAAGTGAGGCTGTTGGGAACTCTGAGGCTGTTGGGAGCTGAGTGAAGGCTGTTAGGAACTGGTAGAAGCTGTAAGGAGTTGTTGGTTCTGTTGGAGGAGCTCATCATGCTGGCTTTCCTGATGAACTCCGATGTTTTTATCCTCTGAGGAGCTCGGGACCTTGTTGGCTCCAAGAATGGCTTCTTTTCACTTTGGGGGAGCTCTGGTCCTCACTTTGAGCATCAAATTCTGACTCCAGAGGGGAAGATGCTGCATTACTCAGTCTCCTGGAGAAACTCATTGTGTTGGCTTTCATGATGGGAGCTCAGCTATCTGAATCATCAGAGGAGCTCAGAACCTCACTGTTGCTGAGGATGGCTGTGGTACTTTTTAGAGAAGCTCTGTTTCTTTGTGCATCACTTCCTGGCTCCAGTGTAGATCCCTCAGCCTGCTAGCACAGATCCTTCATCCTGCCGGCACAGACTTCCTAGGTTCCACCACTGACCTTTGGGCCTTCCCAGCGCAGATCCGTGAAACAGGCGTGCATGAGATATTGTTATCGACTTCTAGGCCTTCATTTGGACTCATGGGAGGCATTGTTATGAGCTGTAGGTCTTCAGCTGGACTCATACAGTACATTTCTGTGTAATCCAGGCCCTTGGCTAGAGTCCTTGGTCTTGGTGTGTAGACAGATTTCCTGCACTCTTTTGTATATCATTCTTGGGTGACTATTATAAATAATCTTACAAACTATGTGTCCTGTATTATACTGTTTCCCCTTGCAAAATATCCCCCAAGCCAACACAACCACATTTGACTCCTTCCACATTTGACTACTACCATGTTGAGCCCTTCCAATCCCTGTGTTCTGGTGTGGGTCACCAACCACCCATTGTAAGTCATAGTAATGTGGGGACACCTGAGCATTCATTCAGCTCATTAAATGAACTACCCTTCCCCCCAAAAAAAAATCCTGAAAGGGGATGCACAGTGCTGCTTGCGTCTCTGCTTCCAGAATGTTGGATGTATTTCAGGGATCCTCCCCATCCTAATGCGCTTGGAGTAGTGGTGGTAGTGTAACTGAGTTACCACTTACACTTTTGTTCTCCCCATCTCAGGGTTTTGACAGGATTTGCATATCTACCCTATGTTCATGTACAATCTGCACTTGCAATCACTTTTTTAAACTTTAAAACCCCTCATCCATGTAGAGAAGTGTATCGATCATAAGTGTATGAGAAGTTTCACAAGCAGAATTCAACCCAAAGTGCCTTCCTCCTCTGAGTCACTGTCCCAGGGTACCCTGATTTCCATGAGTGACAATACTAATTTTAAAAATATCTTTTTTTATTGGACAATTTTCAAACTTGTACAGAAATAGAGTAGTAAAATAAACCCTATTTTACCTTTATCCATCTCAAAAATCATCAGTGTTTTACCAGTCTCAAAAATTATCAGTAATGTTTCATATTCTCTCCTTTTCCCTCAACCCAACCCCTGCAACACAACATTAGCGCTTAGACTAAGATCTCAAACTACAGTGACATTCCCTGCCTTGAGTGACATGGGTCTTTCTCTCCAGAGAGGTGGGTGGATGGGTGAATGGATGGATAGCTGGATCTGTCATTGTGGCTATAGATAGAAGTGCATTTATGTGATATTCAATTAGGCATCAATTTTTATAATCTTCAGCTTATGATATCTTATTTGTAAATAATACATAATAATAGGACTGATGTATTTTAGCTTAGAAGATATGTGTTTGTAAGTTTGTTGAGGATTAAGTGAACTGACATATTAAAGCTTTTATAAGAGAAACTGGTAAGTATCCCATAAACCTGAGCTGCCATCTTGTCATTGTCACAATTGCAAAGAGTGGGTTAGCAAGGGTGTCATGGGCTCTCTTCCTGTTGTAGGTCTACGCTGTGGTGGTGATCGCCTCTGTGGTGGGATTTTGTCTGCTGGTGATGCTGTTTCTGCTTAAATTGGCAAGACACTCCAAGTTTGGCATGAAAGGTAAGAAGGGTTGAATTTATTTTACTTCTTATGTGGAATCATTTTTCGTTTATGTCTGATGCTAATTACTACTATTGAAGGAAGTGGCTAGATTTATGATGACAGGGATTTAAAGCTGAATAAAAAACAGCAAGGATAGAATCCTACAAAGCAAGCCAGAGCAAAATAATGTTGGTTACTCAACACTGCCCACTTTACCGAGAGGAAAGCTGTCCCAGGAGACATGGGACTGGTTTCTTGAGTGTCAGGTGGCTAATGATTGCAGGCCTGTAGGCAGTGCTTGGTTTTTCTGTTTGCTTTTATTACGGGTAGCACCACACTACGGTGATAGGGTATATGGAAACATGCACTTTGTGCAGAAAGGTCCTTTCTGCTGTACATTTGGTTTCCAAGTTTCCTGTGGTGTGCTTTTGGTTGCTATTGTTTTTCCAGATTCTCAGTTTTTCAAATTTAAACTACAACATTGGAAATCAAGTAAGAAAAGCCACTGACAGTACACTGACATATTGTGCATGGATGGTTTATTTTAAAATGGAAAAATTCTTAAGGTTATATTAAAATTATGGGGTATATTGACCAAGATTTAAAAACATGTCTTTTTTAGAGGCTTAAATATTAAATGGGGGGGTACTTGTATAGATGTTGTTACAGAAAAGGTTGAGTTTCAATGATTTAAAGCCATGTGTTTTGAAGTTTAAACTTCCTCTTGGCTAACGTATTATTGTCGCATTTGTGTGGCCTCATAGCTCGACCCTGCTTACAAATACCTTAGAGGGAGCGATGTGAGGAAATTTTGGTGCTGGCTTAGCTGTGGGGAGGGCAAGTCTGGCAGGTTTTCTTCATCCATGCAGTCTCTTGAACTACTGTGAATGTTGCTGGGATATGCAGAAAGGAGTGTTTAAGTGGCAGTAAGCTGCCTGGCATGCACAGGGCCCTGGGGAAGATTGAGTCTATTTCTGAGGGTTCCTTCTCTCATTCTGTTGGTTTCCATAGGGAGATTCTTAAATCAGAAATGAATGGGAAGGTGGAGTCGTAAACCTAGGCATAAAACAGCAACAGACCCCAAACACCCTCCTGACTCCACCTTAGCCTGCTGATCCTTGACATTTCTGTAGGAGGAGCAAAGATTTTTCATTGTCCAATTGTCAGGACTGAGAGAGTAACGCCACTACAATAACTTTAATTGATTCAAGGACACTGGTCCTCACCTGTGGTTGGCTCCTACAAGCACTTGTAGGACTCGCGCCAATGTGGATTACTCAGCTACCTCGGAGTCTCTGCCTTAGTAAGGTCAGGATGGACCTGCAAACAGGCATTTCAGACAGTTTTTGGTGGAGGCTGACATGGTAGTGCCAAGTGACTATTTCTTCAAGAACAGTCATTCAGTGGAATAAATATGAGCTAGTATGTCTCCCTCCGAGTGTGGGAAGGTGTGGGGGAAGCACAGGAACCAAACTCTACCAGTGCTTCCCAGGCCACTCAGGGACCTCAGGTCTCTGTCGCCAGTGGCTCTAGGGAGCCATGCTGTCTACTTACCATGACAGGTCATCTTCCTCACTCTTAGAGGTTGCTTTCTTTCCTTAGAGACTTAGGGTGCCTATTCCCAAGCATAGATTTTATTGGAGAGTACCAGATTCGAGCAGTATAGCACTTATTCTCCCGTGCGATTTAGTTGGAGATCTTTAATCCTATGAGCTGCTCAGACAAAGGATATATCTAGATCCTTCTGGGAGTTCATTAAAAGCTTTGGGAATCCATAGAGTAGAATTTAGGAGCCTCTTCCCATGATGGTCCAGGAATACCACTGTCAGAAAAATCCTCTCTAGATGTCAATCTGATTCTCTCTGCAGTGTGATGATAAAACAAATGCAAGGAAGACATTTTGATTTAGAGAACAGACTGCATTTCACACTGAGACCCCAGTACAGAGTCTGAAAACAGCATTTTATTTAAAAGGGTTTGGGGTCATGACCTCTATAGCACTCATATCTTCTGAACATAGCCTGAGGACATTCTTAGCGAACGGGGAGAAAGAGCTTGCTTAACTTTGACACAAAGTGGTGAGGCAATGAATTCTTGCAGGCTGTGCCTACTCTTTGCATGTCTTTCTGCCTATTCCTAAACCTAAACAAAATTATTTTTAGAAATTTTGTCTCAGCCTCATGTGCTCATTTGGAATAGCTTATTTTTCTGATTTAGTTACACATTGATGTGTGGCATGATATAAGCAAATCGGGCCCCATCTGAGGTTATTGTTTTACAAGTCAGATGCTGAGTTGATAACCTTTAAGGTTCTAAAAATTAAGATGTGGCTCATGCACGGCGTGCAAATGAAACTGCATAAAAATGGTGTTTAAAAATTAATGCAAGTTAATGTACTTAAAATGTTACTATAGCAGGGATGACTGCTTGAAAATATACATCTAAAAAAGGGAAGAATATGTAAAAACACTATTACACTCCCTGAAATAACCAGGGAATATATCAGACAGGATTTGGGGAGAACAACGGAATAAACTGTGCGTAGCTTTGTAAGGGGCTGATGTGCCAGAGGCCAGTGGCTGATGTGCGGATGAGCTGTTCAAGATGCAGCTCTGTCCTCTAACATCCTCAGAGAGGGTCTAGTCCTGTCATTGTTCCCTTATCATGAAACAGATTCAGGACAGCAGGTGGCTGCCCACCCATCCACAGGGCTCATAGCTAATTTCACCCATCCGTGCCTGTGTTAGTCTCCTTTCTGTTGCTATAAAGAAATACCTAAAGCTGGTGCTTTTTTTTTTTTTAAAGGGGTGAATTCAGCTCACAGTTGTGAAAATTTCAGTCCATAGAGCATAGTGCCAGCTCTGATGAGGGTCTTTCTGCTTTGGTCACATCTTTAGGTGAGGCAGGAAGCTAGAGAACAGGGCGGGACAGTCTTGCTCTTCTCTTGGCCACTGCCCTCTCCCAATTCTCTTCAAAGCCACCTTCTCCAGTGACATTATCACTTTCATGAGGCTCCACCTCTTAAAGGGTCTGGGTCACCTCATAACATCAGAACACTGGGACCGACTTTCCAACACACATCTGACCTTTTGAGGGAATAATGCACAGGGAAATCATGGCCCTAGCATTACATAATTTATCTTGAATGTTGGCTGTTTCAGTTGGTGGTAGACACCTTGATATTATAAAGTACTGTTGAATACTGTAGATTCAGTGAGTGTGAGCTAATACAAACCGGAAACTTCCTAAGATTGCACTCAAGCTGAATGCAGGTGAACTTAAAGGACTAATCTGGGAGCCCAAACACTTCTGGCATCGCTTCCACGGCAAGGTGATATCTGTGTTCCAAACCAGTGAGTTACGTCTGGATTTGAGGGTGCAGCCCAGGAGCTGGCCCACAGGAATGTAAACTCGGGTGTTCTGTCCCTTCCCCATAAACAGAGCCCACTGGTGTGGCCCAGCGCAGGTAACAGGCAGGCCGCTTTGTGGAGACAACATTCATATTGGTCTCTTCATCTTTTTTTCCCAGAGCCTAGTTCAAAGTTGATGCTGAACAAATATAAATTGACTGAATAATTAGGATTTTCAACTTACCCACTTTGGTTTGATAATTGGCCAGGCACAAAAGAGAAAAACTGAGGCTTTCCTAAGTTCTAAAAAGAATAAAACCCCTCTCTTTCTTTGTAAATTGCCTGTGATTCAAGACAACTAATGGCCTAGACCTAGGGCAGGTCTAGGTTCCGTCTAAGGGTATGTAGGTCTTCACACACTGTTTTAAACAATTACTTCTAAGTTTGGAGGATTCACTTGGACTTTCCATTTTGCCAGTGGAAAGCCATTTCTTCCCCCTCTGCCTTCCATCTGTACCTTTGGAATATGTGTCCCTGTCCAGTTCTGAGTCTGGCAGAATGCCAGATAGTTGCTGTTAACCTAGAATTTATCTCTCACTGGCACTTGCTGCGGTTTAGGCTTCTTGTTGCTAGAGTCCAGGAGGCAAACAGCCTTGTTTTAATAAAAACGTAAGGGGTAGAGTAATTCCATGCCTATTTTCCTTCTCATTTCTGTACCTGTACACCATATATTGCTTTATTAGTTGAGTATCTACTTATCATAATTGTAAACCCCCTCAATAAAGCTCCTGTTGGTATGTGGTCATCTATACAAAGAGTATGCATAAATGTTTAATGTGGATGCATAAAATCTATAGCATATCCATCCAAATTGATATCTGTATCAGTATATCTATATGTAAATGCACAATTTTATCTTTTCTTCTAAGGCTGCCTCTGGCTTATTTCAATGTTAGTTTTCAATAATAAAAGGCTCAAGCAATTTTCCAGAGGAGTTTTATTATCAATGAGTAGGCAAACAGGCCTTTGTATGCATTCACGTTGTCACCAAAGTCTCAGGTTTAGCTGTCGCTTGCTGCTCCCCTTCTTCCTTGAAGATGTACTAATTCAGAGAAAGGGGAAATGGCATGTCCACCACATGAGGGCTACAGTCATCAAAGGGTGTGCCTTGGAGGGTGCTCTGTGATGACATTGATGGGGTAGAGTTGGAAACTGTAGGGACAGCAGGGAGGAAGGGACTTGGCGTTCATCGCATTGTAATGAATACTTTCAGCTATTAGCTCTTTATTTTCTGCATCTCCTGGTGGAAGTGTACAGATGATATTTCTGCCCAAGGTACCACTGCATCCTTTGTCTTTTTAGTGTGAAGCATGTGCCCTAAGAAATCTCTGCAGAAGAAACAGTGGAGCAGTCCTTTCTCTCGTTGTCTTGATAGACTGCACAGATTTCCCCTGTAGTCTCCTGTCCTTGCATGAAAAATGCCCTGTGTGCATTCATTTGAGATTACTGCTTAGTAAAGACTGAAAAGTTACATGGCCTGAGGTTGCAGACCTAGGTTTTCCTAACGGCAGAGTGTAGGCCCACAGTTCAAGTTTCTGCTCTTCAGAAAGATCTTCTAGATGTCTTTCAACAGCAACCAAAAATCTGGGCATTAAAAATAGTCATAAA